ACAACTAAATATAATGTGTGGTCTTCAATGAATTCTAAGTTAGAACAAACCAGTTGCAAACTGTATTTGGGGAACAATCTGAGAATCTGAATATGGTCTGAGTTGATAGTAATGAATTACTGTATCTAGTTAGATATGAAATTGGAATCATGGTTATATAGATAAAATGTCCTTATTTTTAATAAGTGAAAACTAAACTATTTAAGAGAGATCTTCCATGGTATTTGTAATACAAATTAATATTTCCGAAAGAGGAAGCATGTAAATAAATTTAATTCTAGGTGATGGGTTGTGGATATTCATAATACTCTAGGGTCTCTGAATTAGCTATTTCTTTTGCTGAAGAGCTCGTCCCTAAATATACATAGTTTACATCTTCATATTGTTTAGCTCTTGCTTAAACCTTACCTACTCAATGAGGTTTACTCTCACTATTCTATTTGAAATTGTAATCTACTCCAGAACTAACCATCTTTCTTATCTTGTTCTGTATTTGCTTTTTTGCTTCATTCACACTGATCACTTTCTAACATACCATATAATTTACTTAGAATGTAAGAACACAATAGCAAGGATTTCTCTATAGATGTAGCCACAGCAACTATAACACTGCGTGGCATATAACAGAGAATCAATATTTCTTAAATGAATGAATCTGGAGTATATTCTGGCCTTTCCATTAGGTAAATTCTACTGCAAAAAACATCTTTAACATGTTAAAAAATTAAGTGTCATTTTGAAGACGAAGGTGAGCCCAACACAATTCATGGTACTTTCAATCACCTCAAATGCCTATGAAAGCTAGACAAGAAATTAAGGAAAACTGAGTAAGAATTTATGGCTTTGAATTATGGTGTTGGTAAAGAATATTGAATGTACCATACTATAAACTGCCAGAACAACAAACAAATCTATCTTGGATGAAGTACAGTTGGTAACTAAAAAATTTTTATGACTTTTCTTATTGTGACATTCACTTTAGTATGGTATCTGGAATCAAACCTGAAATAACTCCAAGGTATGAATGCACTGCCAGAAGAATAAACAAATCTGTTTTGAAAGAATTATAGTCAGAATGCTCCTTAGAAGCCAGGATGGTGAGGCTTTGTCTCACATTCTTTAGATATGCTATGAGGAGAGACCATTCCCTGGAGAAGGACATCATGCTTGGTAAAGCAGAGGATCATTGAAAAAGATTAACAGTGTATACAACCTAGTCCTGTACCATCCTCACTGGGTCGCTATGAGCCACAGAACCTAAAAACATCAACAACCATGGTACCACTTGTGCTACTATTACTGTGCTATAAATCCAAAAACCAAGGCGCTATTATATAGGTGAGAGCAATTATCTCTTTTTTCTTTCCTGTTAGTACTATAGACAAGCGGGCTTTGTCGTACCCTCAAGTAGACCCCAAAAAAGATGGATGAGCACAGTGGCAGCAGCAATGGGCTCAGGCTTAGTAACCATTATGAGTTGGCATGGGACCGGGTGGAGGGGGGGGCAGTGCTTCATTCTGTTGTGCATAAGGTCGCTAAGAGTCAGTGCCAACTCAATGGCACCTAATAACAACAAAAACAACAACATGCTTTATAGTAATCCTTTCTTCCTGTCCCTTGTGATGCTCCTCATGCTGTCCCTAAATCCACTATTCCAGCAATTCATGTTAGGGAAATGGGGCAGATATGGCTACTCTACTCTCCAAAATGCTCATGTGCTCTAAATGTGCTTAAATTGCCCATTATCCTTCTAGGCCAAAGTACCCAATATATCTGATCACAGCTTGAAGCGAGAATAAAGTCATTCTCACTAGCATGATAATTAAAATAATTATATTTAGTCCTGCCTGGAAGTACTAGCATAAAAATTTTTTTTTATAAAAAGATAAAGAATCTTTTCAATGCATATCTCAATTGGTCAGAATATAGGTTGGGGTTGAGAGACTGTTAAATCAGGACAAGGAACTAATACATAGATCATACATGCCTGGGAATGTCCCAGCCTTACAAGTCCTAGACAGCTTTTGATTTTCAGTTTTTCTAACTTTACATCCCCAAACAAATTATCTAAAATCTCTAACATGTCTCTCTTTCACTCTCGTTTTTCGTTAAGTGCTGCTGAGTTGGTTCCAACTCATTGCAACCCTGTGTAAGGTTTTAGATGAGAGATTGGTGGGTTTGAACTGCAAACATCGCAACCAGTAGTCCAGTGCTTATCCTACAGCGCTACACCTTGTTGTTGTTGTTGTTGTTGTTGTTACTAAGTGCCATCAAGCTGGTTCCAACTCGTAGCTACTCTGTACAGGGTTTCCAAGGAGCAGCTGGTGAGTTTGAACTGCCAACCTTGTGGGTCACAGTCCAGTGCTGATCCTACAGCACCACACCAGGATTCCTTAGTGGCCATAAACTACTGCACATTCTAACAACAAGATTGCTCTGACAATGAAATCAACGGAATATAGTGTTACACAGAGCAACACAAGGATTAACTCTTTTCAAGAACAGGTTATTTCTATCAAATGTTTCTTGCTAAGGTACTGCTTATATAAGAAAAATGCTTACCAAAAAAAATTAAAATATTACATATTTTAATTCAGCTCAATGTTTACATTATAATGAGGAATATTCAAATAAAAAGGTTATTTCAATTCTAAAACTCACATTCAATTAACAATACTTAATTTTATATAGTCGCTGTTTAGTGACATCGAATCAGTTCTGACTCATAGCGACCATGTATAGGGTTTCCAAGGAGAAGCTGGTGGGTTTGAACCACCAACCTTGTGGTTACCAGTCCAGTGCTGATCCTATATCGCCACACCAGGACTCCAATTTTAGATAGTAGGCCATCATCAGTCTCCAAAGCCCTAACTTATATTTTAATTCATCATGCCCAAGTAAGATTTCAACTACCTTATCACTTCAGCAGTTACTCCATGTTTCTAAACCCAAAGCAATCACAGTGCCTCTAAACAACTGATGGAATGCTTGAGTGTCTTTCACTGCATTAAAATCATGCTCTTTGGCTATTAGTAGGGAAAGGAAAAGCTACCACCACTAATTTTTAAACAACAATGAAGGGGTAATGAGTTTGCCCTAACACCCTGCCATGTGTCTTGTTTGGTCTCAAAGTGCTATACAGGTTTAAGGTCTGCTATGCTTTCTCTTCTGTCTTCAGGAGAATCCCAGAGAATAGAAAATCAAAGTATAAGTAGAGGCAGTAATTAAGATCATTTGAGAAGCCTAAAACAAATCTTAGAATGCGTAACTCAAGATCAGAGTAACGTTCAGTGCCTAACAAAGCAGCAGCATATAATAAACACTCCATAAATGTATATTTCTTTACTAATTGATCACCCTGGCAGATAGACAAATTAGCAAAGCTATGCTCAAAGGACAATGGAGGCTTTATCACATTAAAATTCTTCACTATCTCCTGAAAACACAGATCCTCATTTATATTTAGTGAGCTTTACCAAAGGCTAAGCAGTAAACTAATCCCCAGAAATTAGTAAAACACAGAACCTGAGGTAAGTTGCACACATCTAATAAAGGAGATATTGTTAAGTGCCGTCAAGTCGGTTCTGACCCATAGTGACCCTGTATAGGGTTTCCAAAGCTGTAAATCTTTACGGGAGCAGAAAGCCTCATCTTCTCCCACAGAACCGCTGATATTTTCGAACTGCTGACCTTGAGGTTAACAGCCCAACTCATAACCACTATGCTACCAGAGCTCCTTAATAGAGTAGATAGTGTTTATTCTAATATTTGTTGTTGGTAAGTGCTGTGGTGTCAATTCTGACCCATACTGAGTTTCCAAGTAGTGGCTGATGAGTTTGAACTGCAGGCCTTGTGTTATAAACTGACCCTGTGGTTAAGTGCTTATCCTACAGGACTCCTACTCTAACATAGCATGAAAAGTTATTAGATGTATCAAGTCCTATGAGAATATAGACTAAGAAGTGAGCAATTTTGCATGGGTGACATTTCAGTCAAAACCTCACAGAGTCTAAAGTAGGAATTCACAAGATGAGGAAAGGAGTGGCAAGAGGGCTGGGTAAGAACAGTTTTCCTAGTAATAAGGAACTGCATAAGTTAAGCTTCACATCAATGCCTATACTAAGTTCAGGAAATGGCAGGATATTTTATATGGATAGGATATTTGATTTGAGAAAAAAATATGACTAAAGAGGAGTCTGGAAAACAATAGAGAGCTAACTTATAAAGAGTCATTTCTGCCATATTCAGGAGTTTATATTTTATCCTACTGGCACAAGGTTTTGAGTAGTGAAGTGACTCAATTAGAACTCTTAGTTAACAGCAGCAGAAGGAAAAATTACTCAAGGTAAAGTTAGTAAGATATCTACCATAGATGTTTAAATGAAAAAAGATGAAAGAAATACCTCAAATATGTATTCATATCCATAAAAATTCCAATGGCCACTATCTCTATACAATAAAATTCTAACTCTTAAGACAGGATTAAGTCCCTTAACAATCTTAAATCTACCTTTCCACCTTCAATTCCTGCCCTTTCATTTCCCCACATCTTACAATTCAGCTACCAGGCTATCTATGTAACATTCCTTCAACATGCATGTACATTCATACCCCCATGTGTTAACTCTCAGTTTGTTTCTAAATAGAAAACTCTCAATAAACTCCTACTCATCCTCCAAGGGCCAAGTTAAAGAAGGTCATATTTGTAAAGTATTCCCTGAGTCTAACTTTCCCAAGACAAAAATTAACCATGCTTTCCTCTAGGCTGTCACATCAGATCATTCACATCACCAATATACTAATTACATTATACTGTTAGCTCAAAATTCATCTATCTCTCTAAAAGAGCTGAAACCAATCTATTACAAATAAAATTCAAATTAAATTGTATATATAAAATCATGAGATTAACCTTTATATGAATGTACGTATGTATGAACGTATGTGTGTGTGTATATATATATATATATATATATGTACATATATGGTTTTTTTATTACCTGATAAAACTTGAATTTGAACCCAAGAATATGACACAGTGTTTGCGGTTCACACATACTCATATAAGATTCTAATAAAGATATAAAGAAGTCATCGTGTTCTGGCCTGCATTCAAACACTTCTAAAATGACATCCAAAACTCTATTGGGATCCAGATTAAAGCATCCTGCAACAGATGAGATATACACAAATTCAAAAGTGATTATACATCATTTCTAGTAAAGCTATTAACTTTCAGGGATAAACTTATATAGCAAGATAAAAGCAATCTTTTTTAAATATTTATTTTGCACATTCCCCTCCCCCTGAGAGAAATCCTCATAACTTTCAATATCAAGTTTAGTCCACATATTTTAAAGATGAAAAATGTGACCTGCCCCAAATCACAAAGTAAGGTTAAGAAAGGGCTGGAGCTTAGGACTGTGACACTAAGTCTACTAATCTTCTATTCCATAACGTCTCATCAGTTCTTAATTATTCAGGTTAAATGAAGGAGATCCACATTTTTTATTTCAAAATACGAAAATTAAACAATGCATTATACAAATTATTCAATTATTAAGTCTTTAAGCAACAGTATTTGCAATGAAGATAAACTGAAGTCCAGGTTCATGAAAGTGGTCCATCATTCTTAAAGTCATGCTTTAGTTTATTTTATACATACAAAAAAGCTGTAAAATATAATTTTACTACTGAATTGTATTTATGTTGGGTTTTTTGCAGGGAAAAAAGATATATTACTTATACTAAAGAGATGAGAGAATAAAAGGAAGTTGGGAATACAACAAAGGAATGTAGATGACACAAATAGAGAAGCAAGCAGACAACCCAGCTATATCAAGAAAAGAAAGGGGGGGGGGGAAGTACTAAATAGGTATTCATGACTACTTGTCCTTGTTTCCTAGGTTAAGTTAAAAAGTGCTAAAGGGCACAGATTTGAAACATTTCTACCAGCCACCCTACTATTAATATATTGTTATTATTATATGTATTTGGCTTCAGTTGTTACTATAACTTTATTATACTAGAGTCACATCATATAGCTGTTAACTTAAGAGAATTTAACCATTTACACACAAGGTAAAAAAAGAGATTAAAAAATTGAAACAGCATAGGCAATTCCACCAAACGCTTCTTTCAACAAAACACATGCATCTGAGCCAGAGTGAACATAAGATATGAATCTGCTGTTCCCTCAGTTTATGTTATGTCAGTTTCCACATGCCTCGTATCAAGCTGAATGGAATTCTAGTAATTTAAATTATTTTTCATTAGACATAGCCCCTAAATGAAGCTAACTATACTTCACTGTAGTAAACAAATAAACACAGATTTCTTCTAATGCTAGAAGAAAAAAGAACCACCATATTGAACAATTACTAGAGTTCCTTATGAATGACTTACAGGATTTTTCCAAGAAAATTCTTACATAAGCTATTTGTGCCCTTACTCTTTTGTTAAGAAGAGCTTTCCAGAGCTACATCTATCAACTCCACATTTAGTTATGGTCTATCAAAGTTTAAAAAAAACAAAAACACTGCCATCAAGATGATTTCGACTAATAGCAAACCTACTTACATAGGGTTTCCAAGACTGCAAATCTTTATGAGAACAAACAAGGCTCCTTTATCAATCTAAACCAAAACTCACATGGTCGATACGAATTTGACTTGACTACCATTGAGTTGAGTCCAATTCACAGCGACCCTATATAGGGTTTCTGACACCGTAAATCTCTACAGGAACAGACAGTCTTTCTCCCAAAGAGGTTGGTGGGTTTAAACTGTCAACCAGGTGGTTAGAAGTCCAGTACTTATCCTACAGTGCCATCAGGGCTCCTTTGTCAATATAAAAGTGACTTTAAAATACCAACTGGAATTTTCATATGCTATCATTGGAACAAATAAATGGTAAAGTCACTGTAAAACTGGCAGTTTCTTAAAAAGAAAAAGATGCCTACATCCATACAAAGACTTGTACACAGACATACACAGCACCTTTATTTCTAAAAGTAAACACCTGCAAATGTTCATCAACAGATAAATGGATAAGCTAAGTACCATATAATTTTAATACATACAATGAAATACTACTATTCAGCAATAAATAGGAAGGAATGATTAACACATACAATAACATGGAAGAATCATGAAACAATTATGCTGAACAAGGTAGTCAGACAAAAAAAGATACACAATATATGACTCCATTTATAAAACATATTTTAAAAAAAGCAAACAATTTTTAGTGACTAAAAGCACATCAATGGTTACAATGGGAGAGAATGTATGAGAGAAGATGAATTACAAAGCACCAAGAAAAAATAGTGAAGGGTGATGGAAGTGCTCATTAACTTTACTGTGGTAATGTGTTGATAGGTATGTATATAATATTAAAATACAAACTATACTATGAATCAGTTATACCTCAATAAATCTGAAAAAAATGCCTTCAAACTGTTGTAATACTGACAACTGCTTACCAAAGATCAAATTTTCCAATTTGATTACGTCTACATTTACTAAGGAGCTCTGGTACCGTAGTGGTTACGAATTGGGCTGCGAGGCAAAAGGTCAGCAGTTCGAAACTACCAGCTGTTCTACGGGAGAAAGATGAGGCTTTCAGCTCCCATATAGATTTACAGCCTCTGAAACCCTGTACAGGGTCGCTATGAGTTGGAATCAACTCCACGGCACATAACAACAACAACAGCAACATTTACTAAAGAAATTACTAAATAAAAATGTGTAACAGTTGAGACGCCAGTATCAACATGGCAGAAGAGGAAGCGCTATGCTCCCCTTCATGAGTGCTTTGTCAGAACACTGAGGAACAGATGGGAGAGGAAGGCAGCCAGGTGAAGATTTGTTTACGTTTGAAAAAAGGACTACGCTAACACAATATCAAAGTCTTTAACGAAAGAGAAAAAAAAAAAATGGAAAAAGAAAGACACATAGGAAACCATCAGGAAGGGGGAGAACCTGAGTTAAGAATTACTTTATTCTATTACTCAACTGTGCTATGTTACACACAAAAAATAAATAAATAAAGGTAACTGCCGCCAGAACTCTGAACCACATATAAAGGAATATTTACAAGGTTGGAAGGCTTACGGCCAGTGGAATTTGTAGAAGAAGCAAGATATCCATTACTTTCTAATCCAAGGCACGCAGATGTTCCCAGAGCCACCATCTTGGGCGAGACCGAACCAGGGAAGGATCAGAGCAGTCACGGACACCTGATAGAACTGCAGAGATAAAGGTGTGGACATTCTTTTTTGGGGGGGTTCTGTTCATTGGCCTCTCGCTGTCTACGCACTTCCATTCAAGTGACAAGAGGGGGTGCCTGAGCAAGTAGACACCCCACCCCCATCCCAAGAGAGTACTATTACATATGTGCACAGATCTTCTCAAAATTTAAAGGACACTTTCTACTTAAAACCAAACGAAACTGCAAAACAGACACAGCCGGTCCTAACCTGTTTATCACTATGAAAAAGGCCTGAACCGGGATTGTGGAGCAGCTTAGGCAGACTAAAAAGAAAATAGGCCAAAAATTAAATCCTGAGTTACGTCACAACAACTAACAGTGTCATCTTGAAACTTCAAAGGAAGAAGACTGAAAAGGGAATCCCATCTCCTGATCACATCTACCTGAAGGCAATCAAAAAGCATAAGAAATACCAAAATACACACCCATCTAAGTATTAAGGCCACAGATAACTCCTGAATATGCCCCCAAAACACAAACAGATGACCATATCAGCACATGTCCAGAAATGAGATAAAGTGACTGAGGCAAATGAGCTGAAAGTAGACCTACACTCCATACTGGAAGATGGGCAGGCTTTGGAAATGCGTGAGAAGGAATTCAGAAAAATGATTATAAAATATATCAAAACACTATACAATGGAGTTGAGAAAAATAAGTGGAAGAAGTCAGGAAAGTGCTACAGAACAATCAAATAGGATAGATGCAGCACTGGAAATAACTCAAAACCCACAGAAAGAGGTTCAAATGATTAATAATAGAATATCAAAAATAGACAATACAAGGAAAGGGCAAAGGAGTAGAATAGAAGAGATGGAAGGCAGAACTAGTGAACTAGAGGACAAATCTCTCAACACCACTAAGATAGAAGAGCAAACAGAAAAAAGGACAAAAAACTCTGAAGAAGGTCTAAGATTCATGTTGGACAACATGAAGAGGAATAACTTAAGAATTATCAGCATTCTGGAACAGGAAGAATCACACAAGTCCACAGAGGGAAATAGTTGAAGAGCTGCTGGAAGAAAATTTCTCTAACATCCTGAAAAGTGAAAAGATAAGCATTCAAGAAGCTCAATCAACCCCAGGGCAGATAGATCCCAAAAGAAAATCACCAAGACATATCATAATCAAGCTCTCCAAAATCAAAAATAAGGAGACAATCCTGAAAGCAGCTAGTGAAAAGAGAAGTGTTACATACAAAGGCAAGGAAGCCAGATTAAGCTTTGATCTCTCAGCAGAAACCATGGACGCAAGAAGGCAATGGGGAGACATATATAAAACCCTGAACAGAAAAAAAAAAAAAAAAAAAAAACTGCCAACCAAGAATTCTCTACCCAGCAAAGCTGTCCATAAAAAACGATGGTGTAATCAAAACATTCCAGGATAAACAGAAGCTAAGGGATTTTGCCAAAGCCAACGCTGCTATGAAATATATCCTAAAGGAAGTTCTGTGGACTGAGAACCAACAAAAACAGACAACCATCAGAGAATAACGTACATGGCAACATCACTCTGAACTCAATCAGCAAATGGAAGAGTCATGAACCGAATAAAATTGTAAGAACAGAGGAACTGGGAGGTCAGTCTATGATCAAAACAATTACAATGTGAAAGAAGGTAAACAGAGAGGAACAGAGATCCAGGTGGAACCTGTATCTGTATCTTATGATACAGAGATTAATAAAATGTTTCCCCTGCCCTTGTGGAGATTTCACAACATCTTAGATGATACATCTTTAAAGAAATGCACTGAAAAGTAACAGGAGTTTCTCGAAAAGATTAACAAGATGGTCAGGATATTAGAGCAAGTAACTGTAACAAGAGGCAAGAAATATGATTAAACTGATAATGGCTGTTGCAGTAATAATACGGCTGAACTGAGATTTTCACACTAGA